GTGTGTGTGTGTGTGTGTGTGTGTGTGTGTGTGTGTGTGTGTGTGTGTGTGTGTGTGTGTGTGTGTGTGTGCATATAAATATATATATATATATATATATATATATATATATATATATATATATATATATATATATATATGTTGAAAGCCGTTTTAGCTCCGAAGGACTTTTTTTAGAAATAAGCAGCGGAGAGAGTTGAATATATTGCATGGAATCATTCTAAGGTATATTGTACCCCGTGAACACAATTCTCTTAAACTCGCGTCAAAGTCTTCAAACTGTGCGGCGAGTCGAACGTTCCAGATGATTCTAGGGATTGTTTTGGTCTGCGAGTTTGCGCCTCGGCCGACAGATGGCGCAGTGACCTGTCCCGGCAGGAGAACGACGTTGTGCTGCCGCCGGATCCCTCGCTCCATCACTGAATATCTCCTTCATCCGTGCCTTAGCCGGCCTGAAACACCATCATGTCGGCGGTGGGACAGCTCGTCTTCGATGAGTACGGGAAACCGATCATCATCCTCAAGGACCAAGACCAGCAGAAGCGTCTCACGGGAATCGATGCTCTGAAGGTGAGGGGCGGCGCTGTCACAATGGGGCCCAGGTGCTTTGCTATTATTGATTTACTTAGGAAAATGATGGCGTTTTTCATTTTGACCAAGGCGAATAGCTGTATTAGGGTGGTAAAATTCTACAAGGCTAGTTAGGTCTTGGGTTTTCAGTCACAAAGGGACGTAAAATGGGGTGAAATCACTGCAGACGGGCGGACGCTGGGGCAGGATGACTCACAAGGGAACCCGCCCGCACCGGATAACAATGCGAAATAACATGCGTTTAGTAAATTCTGATCTCTTAGCTCCTGTTTGATTGTCATTTCATGCAAATCTCGATCATGATCATCAGTCACATGAAAAATAATTCCCGAACTGGAATCCACAATAATATGCGAAATGAGTCATTCCTATATATTCAGCCGTAACATACCAGGATCACCTCGACCAATCAGATGCTCAATTAAATGCTTTGATAAAACACCGTGGCCATAGTTTTGCAAGGTTATTGCAAATGATGACATGTCAAATTGGAGACATTGACTGTATACTAATATCGTTTATGACCACGAGTTTGCAGACATTAGCAGTTCTTTTCATCCACAACAGGCATTAAAGTATCCACTTTAAATGACTCCTTTGTACCAATATTGAGGATATGGATGAATGAAGCATAACATTGATAGTGGTAATTCATACTCAAAAATGGTATATCTTGGGAACACACCCTTATACTCCAGGAGTGGCTCCTGCTTAAATTATCACAATTATAAATCAATCAGTGTTAAGGCAAAGGCAAATAGACCATCACTACATATATTGGCAAATATATGGTATTTTTTACCTGAGAAGGATGTACCCTCCAGAGACAAAATCTCCAACCCAGGGTATCGTGCAAACCCTAAACCCAAACCCAACCTTTCCTACCTTCTTATTCCCTAGGCAGGGGAATAAGTGTTTAGTAAACTGGCACTTGGTACCAATTTACTTAACATGCAACATTAAAAGCTCAGGCTATGTGAGGGTGTTGTGGACTTTGTCTCAGAACCATGAGAAGCAGCGGATATTTTCATTTCATGGTAAATACGAGGCTGGAGAAGCTGTACCTGTAATGTTTATTACTCTATTTCTTATATTCTCTAAGATGGCAGTGTCCATTTCCCTCTGTCTCTCTTTGTCACACTTGGTAACATTAACCAAATATTTTGATACACATAGAACAAGGAAGATTGGCTGGATAAAATGTAACCTGTGAGTGATTTTTATTTATAATTTTAGCATTTCATGATAAATGTCATTATTAAAGTGTTTTAGAAATTAAAACAAGTGATTCCATGTATTGGTTAGTTGCCTTGTATATACTGTAAAAGATCCACTTTTTTATATTCAACTTCAAACCTGCACCAGTTGTATCAAATAATTTCAGTCTCCAGGTAAAGTTTGTTGCAGAAATTTATGAAATGCTAAAACACAAGAAATTCAGCAAGCTTTAATTGAAGATCCTTAAGGATATATGAAACACAGATATAGTGACTCTACTTCTACTATCCTGTTAAGTTAAAATCATTTGATCTTACTAACCCAGTGCCACTGTGGATAACATGTACATATATGCCATGCCCACTGTGAATCTAGTTTATTGCCTTTACACATAAATATCTCGTCATCTACTAAGTTGCTAATGAATTAGTAGTTCTACCTGTATCAGCTCTTTATCCATTTCTTTGATTTTCGGAAATATTTTCTTGGGTATTGTATTGCTGTTAGTAATATCAGTAACATTTTAATAGTTGCAATGTCTAAAATAATAAAAACAGCATTGATATTGACACTATTAGTAAAAAAACATTTTTCCTGATTTCTCTGATTTTAGAGACTTTAGCTTCAAAGGCTCAAGGATAGACAGTATACCTTGTACTTTCAAGAAAATTATGTCACCTACAAAACCATGGTTAAAAATAAACAGGGATTCAGATTCATGGATCTCTCCTAGTTTTTTTTTTGCTCATTGACTGGTGATGCCCATTCTTTTCAAAGTCTAAGATAAAACCTGTTTTTCATCTGTAGATTTAAAGTCATTTTTAGATAAGTGGCTCTTGATACATTGAATATATTTTATATAAGCTTTAGTTATCAATTGGCCAACTATATTTTATGGGAGTTAAAAATCCTAGGAGTGTCATAAATCATTTGGAGACTCATTTGAAATGTGTGTAATTTCCCACAATATGGTGGGTGCATTGGTGAAACCATCAGGTTTATAAGCAAAGTGGCTTTCCTTTCCTGTTTCTGTTGCTAGGCTGAAATACCCTGTGAGGATTTTATTTTTTTATGTTTAAGAAACAAAGTGTATAGTCTACTAAGATGCAGTTTTCTGTAGTAACTCCTTGAAGATGCAATTTGGAATCAGTGGAGTGTGTTAGTAGAAATTTGAAGTAAACCATTGCAAAGTTATTTGTTGATCATTCAAAATATTAAAGTATAAGATGTCCATTGCTTAAATGTGTAAAAATAATTGTATGGCACCCCTCCCTTCCCCCCAAGAGGCATGAATATGGCAAATAGTTTTTTTTTTTTTAGTAGAATGGAAGTGTGGAAGAAAATGGTTAGGAGGAGATAGGGCAATTACTTTTCTTTCTCCTTTATGCTATATTTATTTAATAATGGTAAAGCAGCCATTGACTAAATTTTTTCTTTACAGTCACACATTTTGGCAGCTCGCAGTGTGGCCTCTATCTTGGCCACCTCACTGGGTCCTAAAGGGCTTGATAAGCTGATGGTGAGCCCTGATGGAGATATCACTGTCACTAACGATGGTGCCACCATCCTGAAGATGATGGATGTGGAGCACCAAGTTGCCAAGCTCATGGTGCAGTTGTCGCAATCTCAGGATGATGAAATTGGTGATGGAACCACAGGAGTTGTTGGTAAGTTAACCTTTGCAGTTTGAAAGGATTTATTCTTGAAGTTAAAAAAAAGTACTTGCATCTTGAAGACTATTTTTTATTTATTTTGTTTTTAATATCATCAATTTGCTTGTTTTGTGCATCCAGTATATGTGCAAGAAGAGATTGTGGTTTTTAACATTTTCTTTTGTTTTCAGTTTTGGCTGGAGCCCTATTGGAAAAGGCTGAATATTTGTTAGATAAAGGCATTCACCCCATTCGAGTTGCTGATGGCTATGAACTGGCTGCTAAGAAGGCTATTGAGCATCTTGAAAAAATTGCCGATGAATTTCCAGTTGATGTAAATAATACCGAGCCTCTAGTCCTAACAGCAATGACTACCTTAGGTTCTAAGATTATCAACCGCTGTCACAGACAAATGGCTCAGATTGCTGTAGATGCTGTTATGGCAGTGGCAGATCTTGAAGCTAAAGATGTCAACTTTGAATTAATTAAAGTTGAAGGCAAAGTTGGAGGCAAGCTGGAGGACACCATGTTGGTGAAGGGTGTAGTTGTAGATAAGGACTTCTCCCATCCACAAATGCCGAAGGAGCTCAAGGATGTTAAACTAGCTATCCTTACCTGCCCATTTGAGCCCCCCAAGCCCAAGACCAAGCACAAGCTTGAAGTCAGCACTGTTGAAGAGTACAAGGCTCTTCACAATTATGAGCAGGAGCAGTTTGTGTCCATGGTTGACAAAGTAAAGGCTGCTGGTGCTACTCTTGCCATCTGCCAGTGGGGCTTTGATGATGAAGCCAACCATCTCCTGCTTCAGAAGGAACTTCCAGCTGTACGATGGGTTGGAGGCCCTGAAATTGAGCTTATTGCCATTGCCACAAATGGAAGAATTGTGCCTAGATTTGAGGAACTTTCACCAGAGAAGCTTGGATCTTGTGGAAAAGTGAAGGAATTGTCCTTTGGTACCACAAAGGACAAGATGTTGGTGATTGAGGAGTGTCCTAATACCAAAGCTGTCACAATCTTCATCAGGGGAGGGAACAAAATGATCATTGAAGAAGCTAAGCGCAGTATCCATGATGCTCTCTGTGTGGTCAGAAATCTCGTCAGGAACAACAAGATTGTGTATGGAGGAGGTGCTGCTGAGGTTTCATGTGCTCTGGCAGTTTCTGAGGAAGCAGACAAGGTAAAATGTTTTAATTGTCTAAATTTCTGTCAAATCTGTACCATTTTCGTATTCATAGATGGTTTCAGTCTGAATGAGTTCAATTGCAAAGGGAGTTTAAAAATTGGAATTCGATATGGGTTCATAAGTGATCTTTTGTATAATGAGGTTTAATATTTTTTTTATTTCTCTCAGATCTCAACACTGGAACAATATGCTTTCCGTGCCTTCGCTGATGCTCTGGAAAGCATTCCGCTTGCCTTGGCAGAGAACTCAGGATTGTCCCCCATTCACACACTGACTGAGTGCAAGGCACGACAAGTTACAGAGAAGAATCCTGCACTGGGAATTGACTGTAACAGCAAGGGCACATGTGGTCTGTATCCACCAGATTAGGCTATGAATTTGTGATTTAATAAATTGTTAATATTTGTAGTGTGTCATAGTTGAAAGGCTAATGGTATAAGAATAATTTACTTTATGATTAATTGTACTAAAGTCAAGCATGCATTTTTATTTGCAGTACTGATCTCATGTCTGATTGCCCAAGGTAAACTTTTTTCTATTGTTACACAGATATGAAGGAGCAGCATGTGATTGAGACCCTGCACAGCAAGAAGCAACAGATCCTCCTTGCTACCCAGCTCGTGAAGATGATCCTGAAAATTGACGATATTCGCACACCAGGAGAGATGCATTAAGATCTCCCAGAAAACCTAACATCAAATGGCCTTCAGTCTCCTGTTACTAATTTCTATTACGTCCTTGCACTCTTACTCCTAATGTGGTACTGTACTCCAAGAAGAGACAGTATGCCATTTGTATCTTTTTATTTGGGATTGTATTCTAATGCTTATCTCATCCCCAGTGCTTTAAATAATAATAAAAAATATCAGAACTGTAGGTGTTTAAATCCATTATTAAAAATGAAGTAGGTATTAAAGAGGATTCAATACATGATTTTCTAAGTAAAAAAATGAATATGTGGATGGCTAGGAAAGTCGGACTATCTATTTACTTCATATTGAAAAAGTGTCATGAATTATTTTCATGCAGAACGCAAGGCTTCCTTCATTCTAGTGCCAATGATAGTTGCTACAACTAACCATTTACTTTGACTAAAACGACATTGCAAATTATAAGTTGAGCTGAATATCTGTTTGTACTAAATGTTCACTGCACATCTGACCGTATAAGACATGTTCTGACAAGAATTCTCAACTTATCTTCTGGCCTGTACATCTCGGAAATGTTTCCAAGAAGGATGTCAAGTAACGAAGGAGACAAGAAGAAAAAGTACAAAATTATCCCACTTGAGAAGTAGCAAAAAAAAAAACATGGATAGCTATTTTCGCAACATGGCATCATTAATCGTGAACATTTCCTGTTTGTCTGAACATTGCACTACTAACGGATGTAAGCAAAGTTCAAAATCACACTGCTATTTTCCTGTATTTTTCTATTTTTTCATCAGAATAATGGCAAAATACACATTCTTCAAAAAGTATCAAAATATTTGTTAGCAGATTATGAAACGAAAAGAAAGATGTTGAAATATTTACTAATTTCTATTAAGTCGATGCATTGTCTCAGAGTCAAGAACGCTTATTACAGCTATATTTCAATTCAGTTGAAAAAGTAGCAAAAGATATTAACATTCATTATGAAACTGGAAATCGAAAACTACAAATAATTATCGCTTATCTTTGTATAAGAATATGAAAAGAAAATTGGGAATATTAGTCGGGAATACACAATGAACAAGTAAGAAATAGGAAGTAGTGAAATATTTAACGCGTTTTCAAAGTCGTTCGCTGATAATGCTTACAATGGTTACAATGCTTATAATGGTTTCTCAAAATTCCCATGTAGGTCATGTGTTCTGTCTCTACACCCAGTTACTTTCCAACTTTCCTGATAATACCCTTAGAAATATTAGTCGGGAATACATAATGTCATCGGCTGACTATACGCTCTGTATCCTATGTTAAATATATCCATGATATTACATATCTCCTTTCTTCAGTGATAAAAATACCCTATCTTCGTCTCTAATTCAGCTCCAAAGAAATCAAACTAATGCCAACATATAGTACATGTACTTGATGCTCATTTTAATGTAAAAAAAAACTATATCGAAAGTCAGAGAAATTCGCCAGTTTTTTAACCCATCATTTCAAGCAACCTCCCTAATCTCATGCTCGTTGTTATGGGAGGGCTTAGGAGACGGGGACTGATCACTCCTACCTTGATCCGAAGCTCTCGTCGCAATTAATTTTCTTTTCCTTTTCCTTCTCTTCATCGCCTTCTGTCCACTAATCCTAATCTTTAATGAAGTTTTACCCCATTCGCCGCTATTATATTGCTATATGACCTTTGATGTATGGCACATCTATTTGTTTTGACCATAAATCATTCTGGAAATCTTCAAATATCGCTTTATTGAACCAAAAAAAACTTCGCCCCCCCAGCCCGACCCTGTCGCCATATTTTGATGACCTATGTTGACGGGGCAGAAAATGTTCAATGAATAAAGGAAAATAAATATTTGAAGCAAAAGACCATATGTTTGGATCGAATTATTTTAGCACTAAAGAATTACATGGATACTTTCCCAATACCTATTACCCATAGTTGTCAATAACACTTTAATGCAGGACACATTAAGACACATGTCTTATTACCGTACACCATGATTATGATAATATGTGTTTATTTATTATAGATCAGATTTTTTCTGATAAAGCTAGAGGCGGACCATGAACCTGCCTGACGGCTTGTCAAGGATAGGAGTTCAGATGTGTGGGTTTGGGAACTGAAAATTCATGTCCTCATATACATTTTGTTGCATTTCAGTGGAACAAAGATGTTGATTAAATATAT